CTTCTGATCTTTAGTGGGACCCAAGAACTTGCATTTCTAACAGATTATCAGATGGTAATGATATGACGCTGCTGGTCCAGAGACCGCACTTTAGACTGAAGTTCTGTGGGGTTTTGTAGTTTGTCTGTTCTCTTTTTACTTCCTCCAAAGACTTCTTTAATTATGGGAACTCTAGGTAAGTAGAGAAGTAAGAGGCAAACCTCAAGTCATCGCAAAACCTGTGGTATACTCTGTTTTTCAAGGAAGCGTGGAACCATTTGTTACTATTTACCTTCTCCAAAGACAGACATCTTTAAGCCAACAATATTTCATATTAACTAAATCTCCCATAAAAGATAAAGTAGATAGCTGTGAAAGTAAATTAAATGCTTCCTTATGAAGGAGTTTCTGAAGTGCACAAAGCTAGGTATTACTGAAAACTAGTTGTTTTTCATACTTGTATTTGATCCAAATAAGAACTTTAGTCACGTTTGTGCTTTCTGTAAAGATTTCAGCAGGTTAATCTGACAGTGAAGTGAGTAAAACTTGTATCCATTATGGAATTCGCATCAAAGAGGTCCCTTAAGCGCCTTAGCCTCTGGGCGCCCTTGGCAGAGGAAGTGAAGTGACAGTCGCTCAGTCGTGTCTGACTCTTTGCGACCCCATGGACTATACAGTCCATGGAATTCTCCAGGCCAAAATACTGGACTGGGTAGCGGTTCCCTTCTCCAGGGGATCTTCCCAACCCAGGGATTGAACCCAGGTCTCCCGCATTGTAGGTGGATTCTTCACCAACTGAGCTACCAGGGAAGCCCTAGCGGAGGAAGGAAAGGAGATTTTCCGGAGTTGGCATTTCTGAGCACACAGAATAATACCAGCTGATGGATTGCTCTCTGTTTTGAAATGGTATCACTTTGTCTGAGAAGCTCTTATTTCATTTTTGTCCTCTACAAAGAAGAAGGATGCTTGAAGAACTGTTAAAAAGGGCAGCTCTCTGCCCACGCTCCATCCATGTCTTAACTTCTTCCCAAGTTTGAATGGCATGACTCCCATCTACATAGACTATCATCTTTTTTATACATTGTCTTTTGGTTCCAGTTTTTGTTTGAAAAAATATTGCTAGAAATGTGTTGAATAAATCTGGCTCCAGTGAGCACATTATATAGAATAATGTTGTACTTGTACTAAAGTGGATTTCATTAATAAGTAACAGCACATTAGGTGCTTTGCAGACCATAGTACTCTTCCTTGATTTTAACACAAATACCAAAATATGAAGGCATTTTTAAAGTAAATTTCTCTCATAAAAAAAAGTTATCACTCAATGGATGATATGTCATTTCTCTGCTTAAAGTTGTTTGGTTCTCAGGATGCACTTTAAGAGCTTCAACCTGGTGTAGTAATCAAGATTCTTCAGAGAAACAGAACCAATAACATAGATATGGAAAGAGATGTATTATAAAGAAATGGCTCCCACAGTTATGAAGGCTAACAAGTCCCAAGATCTGTGGTGGGCAGGCTTGAGAACCAGGAGAGTCAATAGTGTAGTTTCAATCCAGATGCTGCTGACAGGCTTGAGATCCAAGCCCTTGTTCCAGTTTGAGGTCAAAGACATAAGATATTAAGTGTCTCAGCCCAGAGGTAGGTAGTCTGGCAGAAAGAGTCCCCTCTTACTTGGGGGAGGGTCAGCCTAACAGACTGGATGAGATTCATCCAGATTAGGAGGGACAATCTGCTTTACTCAGTCTACGGATTCAAATGTTAATTTCATCCAGAATCCTCCTTCCAGACACTCTCAGAATAGTGTTCAGCAAATGTCTGGGCACTCTATGATCCAGTCATGTTGATGCATAAAATTAACTACCATATTCAGCATGGACCAGGGAAGACCCTTCAATAGTAGACCAGATCACTTTATCCATAGTTCTGTAAATTCTCCCTTCAGCCATTCAGAGCTAGTTTTATTGCCTTCAAAGCATCTTGACTGTTCACATCCAAGTGTTTTCAGCTGCGTCTCCCTCTGCTTGAGTTCCATTAACCTTGTCTTACTTTGAATACCCAACCCCCTCCCTGACTCCAGGAGCAGACTTGAAACAAAATTCAAGTGGAAATCATTACACCAGTAGGGGAGTGAAAAGGTCATGGAATTACCCTGCCCTCCGGGGCAGCCTTTGACAAAGTGACAGACAGGATTTGCATGCAAGGCTTCCAGCTCCCTTGCTCTCTGGCTTTGCTTTCCTGTGGCACCCACTTCTTTGTGAGGTCTTTGAGGAGTATCATCTTGTATCTCCAGAGCCGCCCACAGTGTTGGCCAGTAAATGGTTAGGTGGTAAATGTAGTAATGATGATGACATGACGACAGTGACAACCAGTATTTATTGAATGTTCCTGCTGTATAAGCACTTTACGTGTATTACCAACTCTGGAAGAATGGTAATTTTATCCTCCCTATGCTACCAATAGAGTCTATTTTCAAATATAAGCTCGGAGGTCACATTTTCTGAGAACCCTTCCCAGTAGTCTTGACTAGAAGCATCTGTCCCTCCTCTGGCCGTTTGTAATGCCAGTGACTACTCTGCATCATGTATTCCAATTTCTCTGCTTGTCTTAGCTTCCTTCATCTTGATAAGTTTCTAGATAAGGTTTTATTTAAATGTCTGATTTATTTTTGTGTTTTCTATTTCCCCAAACACAAGCCTTGCACATACTAAGTCTAACAATTAGTGTTTATCAGAAGGACAAATGGATACAAGGGGAGCAATCAGAAAGATCTTTGACATATCCTTTATTTTCCCCTAGAAAATATAGTCTTTTCCATCCCACTCTGAGATACCAGAGGTTTTGTTGTCATAGAGATGATTCTAGATATTTTAGGCAGTTTTGGGAAATAAAATTGTATTTTAATATATTAAGTTTAGAAAAAAATCTGTGAAGAGTTTACTTTGTAGAATTTAGGTAATTCTAGAATGTGGTTAGAAAACCACATTTCTGAGAAATAGCTATTCTTCCTCCTAAAATTATATTCATAGAAAGAATGAAAAAAAGAAATTATGTAGAAAATCACAATTGTTTCTAACAATCTGAATGAAAGAAATTTTGCTTCTTTGAAATTTAACTGTGGCCATCAAGAATTATCTGTGTAACACTTCAAATTAAATGCATTTTCCACTTCTGCTGTTATATCTCTAATCTTCATTAATAATTAACACTTTGAGGAATGTCATATTGAATAAATCTGTCTAGGAAGTTGCAAATCTTGACTGAGTCCCATTGCTTACAGACCATCTTCTAAATACATGCTGTCCTGATATGTAGGAAACACTTAGAAAGTATAAACTAAGAATTCTCCAGTTTGGCTAATACAAAATGAGATAAAAACAAAAACCACAAAAATTTAATTCAGCAGAAATTTCTTTGTTGATTCCAATGTGTAAGCAATTGGATTAGGTGCCATGGAACACAAAAGAACACCAGAGATGTTCTTTATCTTTGTAGGATTTATGATCTGGAGGTGGGCCTATGGAAAACAGATAATTTGCAAGTTACTAGGCTGTGGGATTTGATGGTAATAATAGCTAATACTTAGTGTTAAATGATGTTTCAGTAGCTGTCCTAATGTTTTATATTATCTCCTTTAATCCTTACAACAACTCTCTGTAGGAGGCTCTATTACTATCTCAGTTTATGGCTGATGAACTTGAAACTCAGTAATATTAGATAATTTCTCCAAGAATACATACCTGGTGAATGTGTGGGTGGAGGAGCCAGTATACAGATCTAAGCCTAAAGGTCCTTAAAGTCCATACTCAGAAGGCAGTGAACATAAGGTACCAAAGAGAACATTATTCATTCAAATTTGAGTGGAGCAGCTGTTAATGGTGCCTCAGCTTGGCCTGGAAGTATAAGTGTGAAAAGAGGTGGAGAAAAGCATTGCTTCCAGGACTGAGGCAGGAGGAAGGAAGCTAAAGGAAGCCTCAGAAAATAAGGAAGAGCCAAGCGTTGCCATGCCTGTAGTTGGCAGCATGAGTGGAACAGGGGTGGTGAACCTGAGAAGAGTGGTTGGAACCAGATATTGTCGGCCTTGAGTGTTACTCCAAGGACTCTAGACTTTTCTCATTAGACAGAGAATGGTTGTCTGATGGTTGAGAATCAGATGCGAGCAGTGTTTTAAGATTGATTTGACAGCTACATGTAAAGGGAATTGGTGTCAGAAGTGGGAAGAAAAGCAGGACAGTCAGGAAACCAAAAAACAGAGAAGGCAAGTGGCAATGAGAGTTGGGATTCGGGTGCAATCATGTGAGTGGAGAAGAAATATGGAAGTAGCTCAGGATTTGTCATTGGCTGGATGTGAAGAGCACATAAGGAGAGGAGACAATAACATATAACAGTTCAGAGAAACAAATACATCATTCAGGCGGAGGCAGCATACATCTGGGTCCTGTCAAAGGGATTCACTCTAGAAGGTGGGATGAGAGGGGTTAAATAGGAATGGAGTAACTGGTAGGGACACTTGAAAACACGTGGTTGAAGGTGTGGGTTTGCATGTGTAGCAAACAAGCACCTTTCCTGGCGCAGGGCAAGTGTTGGATGGATGGTGTGTCATCCTACAATAAAATGGTGATGCCTGCATTTCTTAGGTACTTCAGGTGAGCATACACACCTTTAACAAATGCAGAAAATGTGACACTTAAAATCTGTGATTTTAATTTTTTTTAAGAATTGAAGTGACCAAAGTGACCATATATAACTTTTATAAGTGAAACAGATTATTGCATATACATTTTGTTATAAAATATGTAATAATTTTTTAAAGGAAGTATAAACCCTAGTTGCTAAGTTGTGCTCTAATGTATATACTTTCTTCCTAATTAAGCATGATAATATAAGTCTGTGGAAAGTCATGATTTAATATTCTTTTCTACTAAATGTTTTCTTTAGCTCGATTTTTTTTGTTAGTCAAATTGGATAATAGTGGTATTTCTAACTTTCATATGAGTTTTTCTCTTTCTTAATTTTAATAGATGATAATAATGAAGAAGAAGACGCTGACATGAAAGAAGATTCAGGTATTAATGTTTTTATTCTTAGGAGATAGACAAGGATCATTCTGTTGTTTATGTATACCTTATATCTTCCAAAGAAAGACAAAACAAAGTAACATAATAGAAATGTACACTCAAGGTTACAAAATGAGGAAGTGGTCTTTCTAACTCATAGCTAATGTGTGTGGGGGTGGATGTGTGTGTGGGTGTGGGTGTTAGTCGCTTAGTTATGTCCAGCTATTTGCGCCCCCTTGGACTGTAGCCCACTGGGCTCCTCTGTCCATGGGATTCTGCAGGCAAGAATATAGGAATGGGTTGCCATTTCCTGCTCCAGAGGATCTTCCTGACCCAAGCTTGAAGTCAGGTTTAATGTTTAAATACAGTAACTTTATTAGTTATGTATGGGGCTTCCATGGTGGCTCAGATGGTAACGAATCCACCTGCAAAGCAGTAGGCCTGGGTCTACCATCTGAGCCACCATGGAAGCCCCGTACGTAACTAATAAAGTTACTGTATTTAAACATTAAACTTGACTTCAAGCTTGAGAGCTAAGGTAAAAATGGACCATGATGTAGTTAATGGAAGTATGTAACAAATCACCCCCAAAACTTAGTGGCTAAAGCACCCACATATATGCTGAAATATTCTGTGGGTCAGAAATTCACAGCAGGGCTGATTTGATAATACTACTTCACAGAATCTGGGGCCTCAACTGGAAGACTCAGCAGCTAGGGGTTAGAATCACAAGAAGATTTGTTCACTCACATATGTCTGGCTGGTGGGGTTTCATAGGTAGCTCAGTGGTAAAGAATCCACTTGCCAAGCAGGAGACCTGGGTTCGATCCCTGGGTTGGGAAGATCCCTTGGAGGAGAAAATGGCAACCCAGTCCAGTATTCTTGCCTGGGAAATCCCATGGACAGAGGAGTTTGACGGGCTATAGTCCATGGGGCCGCAAAGAGTCGGACACGACTTAGCGAATGAACAGCAGCAGCAACGTATCTGACTGGTGATTGACAGGCCTGTCACCTGAGACCTTGGCTGGGGCAGTTTTCTGAAATACCTGTGCATGGCCTCCTTCTGTGTTCTGGGCTTCCTTCCAGTGGCCAGTTTCCTTTTGGTTTCTCTAGAGAGTGAGCGAGCCAGACACACTCCTGTCTTAAGACGCATTCACAAGAATCCCATAGAATTACTTCCACCACACTCTTTTCTTTGGAATGGTTCTTCACAAGCCCACCCAGCCTCAGAGGAACAGAGAATAGACTGTTTCCTGGTGGGAATCAGTGAGGGTCTGTATAGCAGGTAGGACCTGAAAAATGGCTGAGGGAATCTTTGGAAAAGGCATTTTATACATGTGATGTATTGTTCTCATTATCAGAAAGTGAGATACATGCCTGCTCCTCATAAAAAAGACCAGTGTTTGATGAGAGAAATCTAGTGGTTAAAACCATTGGTTCTGGCCTAAGGTCAATATGAGCTTGATAACGAATACATCAATCAGTTGGCCTGGATTCAATCCTAGCTCCTCCACTTAAAGACTCTGGATTAGAGTTTTCTGTTAGCCTCAGCTTACACTTCTGGTGGCAATAACTCTTACCATACAGTCCTGTTCGGGGGACTAAATGAGATATCATACCTGAAATGTTCCTTGCATACTTGCTGATCACTTTGTTTACTCAACATTATATCCGACAGATATTAGAAAGTATAGGGCTCAGTTCTGTGGGACGAGAGCCCCGTGTCTCTCACTTTGGCATCATGCTGCTCTAGACGCAAGATGGGGCCTGTTTTCAGAACTGAAATAGATATCTTACAGACCTTCATTTTGTGTGACCTCCTGTTGCTGCCAGACTCCCTACAAATCACTGACACCTTGGTTCCGAGCAGCTCCACAAACAGGGAGCTCTTTAAACTGTGAGCCAGACAGTCTCATTGGGCAAGGTTTGGTTAAGATCATCCTTCTCCTTGTGAAGTCCAATCTCTATCCCTCACCTGACCTCCCACTGTCCTCATGGAGGAATAATATCTGTTCTTTTTGGTAGTAACAGTTCACTGGAACAACGGTCTGACATTCTATCCACTCTTGTACCTCCCTCTGGTCTCCCCAGGGCCATGGATTCAAGGGGCATGGTAGGCAGAGGGAGGATCTCAAAGTCAGGAGTAGAATGGAGGAGGGGGAGGAGGGACAAACCAGCATCTCTTGAGTTCCTTCACTGGAGCCCCCTTGGCAGTCCGGTTGTTGTACAACACAGGCAGCTTTCTAAGGAAAGTTCTTATCTCTGTTCATGAAAGAAAACTCAAAAGTATCAGGGAATTAACTTCTCTGGAGTACCTTTCAGACAAAGTTGAGCAGGAGATGGTTGATCAATACCATTGCCGGATGCATCTGAGGCATGCCCTAGACCAGCACTGCCCAGTAGAAATTATCACTGCCCAGCCTGATAATTCAGATAATTTCAGATTTTCTTTTAGTCACATCGAAAAAGGTAGAAAGATACAAGTGATACTAACATTGCCTGTAACATATCAAAAATATTATCATTTTGACATAAGCAATGTAAAAATTGGTCAGATATTTTGCATTCTTTATTTTTCATACTGTTTTTAAAATTTGTGTGTATTTCACATGCATATTTTAAATCAGACTATTCACATTTCCAGTATCATTGGCGATATGTAATAGTAGACACTGGGATTCAGTACTATCGCCCAGAGCTCCTGGTAGAAATGAACTGTCCACAGCTGACTTTCTCATTAATACATGTATTGGTCGTCCTTCCTTTCTGGTCTTACCTCCCTGCTCCCCTCTGCTGCTTCCTGGGATAATCTCTCAAATTAAGTACTTGCACTCAAATGTTTGTCTATTTGTCTTTTGAGAAAATTCAACTTAAGACAAGGACTCTGCTTCCCTTTTGTAAAACATAAAGCCCAAGGCAACATTTCAATTAAAATATCAATTACTATACTCAGGATAACTTACTATTTAAAAGAACCATAGATTGAAAAAAGTGGTCAGTTCAGTTGCTCAGTCATGTACAACTCTTTGCGACTCCATGGACTGCAGCACACCAGGCCTCCCTGTCCACCACCAACTCCCGGAGTTTACTCAAACTCATTTCCATTGAGCTGGTGATGCCATCCAACCATCTCATCCTCTGTTGTCCCCTTCTCCTCCCACCTTCAATCTTTCCCAGCTTCAGGGTTTTTCCCAATAAGTCAGTTCTTCGCATCAGGTGGCCAAAGTATTGGAGTTTCAGCTTCAGCATCAGTTCTTCCAATGAACACCCAGAACTGATCTCCTCTAGGATGTACCGGTTGGATCTCCTTGCAGTCCAAGGGACTCTCAAGAGTCTTCTCCAACACCACAGTTCAAAAGCGTCAATTCTTCAGCGCTCAGCTTTCTTTATAGTCCAACTCTCACATCCATACATGACTACTAGAAAAACCACAGCCTTGACTAGACGGACCTTTGTTGGCAAACTAATGTCTCTGCTTTTTAATATGCTATCTAGGTTGGTCATAACTTTTCTTCCAAGGAGCAAGTGTCTTTTAATTTCATGGCTTCAATCACCATCTGCAGTAATTTTGGAGCCCCAGAAAATAGTCTGTCACTGTTTCCACTGTTTCCCCATCTATTTGCCATGAAGTGATGGGACCAGATGCCATGATCCTAGTTTTCTGAATGTTGAGATTTAAGCCAACTTTTTCACTGTCCTCTATCACTTTCATCAAGAGGCTTTTTAGTTCCTCTTCACTTTCTGCCATAAGGGTGGTGTCATCTGTATATCTGAGGTTTTTGATATTTCTCCTGGCAATCTTGATTCCAGCTTGTGCTTCACCCAGCCCAGCATTTCTCGTGATGTATTCTGCATATAAGTTAAATAAGCGGGGTGACAATATACAGCCTTAACGTACTCCTTTCCCTATTTGGAACCAGTCTGTTTTTTTCATGTCCAATTTTAATTGTTGCTTCCTGACCTGCATATAGATTTCTCAAGAGGCAGATCAGGTGGTCTGGTATTCCCATCTCTTTAAGAATTGTCCACAGTTTGTTGCAATCCACACAGTCAAAGGCTTTGGCATAGTCAATAAAGCAGAAATAGATGTTTTTCTGGAACTCTCTTGCTTTTTTGATAACCCAACGGATGTTGGTAATTTGATCTCTGGTTCCTCTGCCTTTTCTAAAATCCACTTGAATATCTGGAATTTCACAGATTATGTACTGTTGAAGCCTGGCTTGGAGAATTTTGAGCATTACTTTACTAGCATGTGAGATTAGTGCAATTGTACGGTAGCTTGAGCATTCTTTGACATTGCCTTTCTTTGAGATTAGAATGAAAGCTGACATTTTCCAGTCCTGTGGCCACTGCTGAGTTTTCCAAATTTGCTGGCATATTGAGTGCAGCACTTTCACCACATCATCTTTTAGGATTTGAAATAGCTCAACTGGAATTCCATCACATCCTCTAGCTTTCTTTGTAGTGGTGCTTCCTAAGGCCCACTTGACTTTGGATTCCAGGATGTCTGGCTCTAGGTGAGTGATCATACCACACTAGATCATCACTCTAGGTGAGTGACCAATCACCATGTGATTATCTGGGTCATGAAGATCTTTTATGTATAGTTCTTCTGTGTATTCTTGCCACCTCTTCTTAATATCTACTCCTTCTGTTAGGTCCATACCGTTTCTGTCCTTTATTGAGCCCATCTTTGCATGTAAAGTTCCCTTAGTATCTCTAATTTTCTTGAAGAGATATCTAGTCTTTCCCATTCTATTCTCCTCTATTTCTTTGCACTGATCACCGAGGAAGGCTTTCTTATCTCTCCTTGCTCTTCTTTGGAACTCTGCATTCAAATGGGTATATTTTTCCTTTTCTCCTTTGCTTTTCACTTCTCTTCTTTTCACAGCTATATGTAAGACCTCCTCAGAGAGCCATTTTGCCTTTTTGCATTTATTTTTCTTGGGGGTGGTCTTGATCCCTGTCTCCTGCACAGTGTCATGAACCTCTGTCCATAGTTTATCCGG